GGTTGTCTGTTGTTAAACGCCACACTTAGCAGTATTCTCTATGGTGAGAAGAAGACAACGACACAAGGAGAGAAAAATACCAACAAGAAGTGTAATCATCAGAATACTTTAGAAATATGATTCTACAAGTATGATCAATAAACTGTATGTATTAATACGTACAGCGACAAATTAATGTTTGATTGTTTTTATTTTATGAATTCTAAAGTACATAAAGTTAACGATGGTCAGTGCCTTATTACATGTGTATAGACCAGGGCCAAGTGCCATATAAACATGTGTATAGACCAGGGCCAAGTGCCATATAAACATGTATATAGACCAGGGCCAAGTGCCATATAAACGTGTATAGACCAGGGCCAAGTGCCATATCAACACGTGTATAGACCAGGGCCAAGTGCCATATCAACATGTGTATAGACCAGGGTCAAGTGCCATATAAACATGTGTATAGACCAGGGTCTAGTGCCATATAAACATGTGTATAGACCAGGGCCATTTGCCATATAAACATGTGTATAGACCAGGGCCAAGTGCCATATAAACATGTGTATAGACCTGGGCGAAGTGCCATATAAACGTGTATAGCCCAGGGCCAAGTGCCATATAAACATGTGTATAGACCGGGTCAAGTACCTCCATCATGTGTAGAGACCAGGGTCCAATGCCTTCTTACATGTGTATGGACCATGGTCAAGTGCCATATAAACATGTGTCTAGACCAGGGCCAAGTGCCATATAAACATGTGTATAGACCAGTGTCTAGTGCCATATAAACATGTATAGACCAGGGTCTAGTGCCATATAAACATGTTTATAGACCAGGGCCAAGTGCCATATAAACATGTGTATAGACGAGGGCCAAGTGCCATATAAACATGTGTATAGACCAGGACCCAGTGCCTTGTTACATGTGTAAAGACCAGGGCCAAGTGCCATATAAACATGTGTATAGACCGGGGTCTAGTGCCTTTTTACATGTGTATAGACCAGGATCCAGTGCCTTCTTAAATGTGTATAGACCAGGGCCAAGTGCCATATAAACATGTGTATAGACCAGGGCCAAGTGCCATATAAACATGTGTATAGAGCAGGCCCAAGTGCCATATAAACATGTGTATAGACCGGGTTAAGTACCTCCATCATGTGTAGAGACCAGGGTCCAATGCCTTCTTACATGTGTATGGACCATGGTACAATTCCTTTTACCATGTGTATAGACCAGGGCCAAGTGCCATATAAACATGTGTATAGACCGGGGTCTAGTGCCATATAAACATGTGTATAGACCAGGGTCTACTGCCATATAAACATGTGTATAGACCAGGGCCAAGTGCCATATAAACATGTGTATAGACCAGGACCCAGTGCCTTGTTACATGTGTATAGACCAGGGCCAAGTGCCAAATAAACATGTGTATAGACCTGGGCCAAGTGCCATATAAACGTGTATAGACCAGGGCCAAGTGCCATATAAACGTGTATAGACCAGGGCCAAGTGCCATATCAACATGTGTATAGACCAGGGCCAAGTGCCATATAAACGTGTATAGACCAGGGCCAAGTGCCAAATAAACATGTGTATAGACCAGGGCCAAGTGCCATATAAACGTGTATAGACCAGGGCCAAGTGCCATATCAACATGTGTATAGACCAGGGCCAAGTGCCATATCAACATGTGTATAGACCCAGGTCAAGTGCCAAATAAACATGTGTATAGACCAGGGTCTAGTGCCATATAAACATGTGTATAGACCCGGGCCAAGTGCCATATAAACATGTGTATAGACCGGGGTCTAGTGCCTTATTACATGTGTATAGACCAGGATCCAGTACCTTCTTACATGTGTATAGAGCAGGGCCAAGTGCCATATAAACATGTGTATAGAGCAGGGCCAAGTGCCATATAAACATGTGTATAGACCGGGGTCTAGTGCCTTATTACATGTGTATAGACCAGGATCCAGTACCTTCTTACATGTGTATAGAGCAGGGCCAAGTGCCATATAAACATGTGTATAGAGCAGGGCCAAGTGCCATATAAACATGTGTATAGACCGGGGTCTAGTGCCTTATTACATGTGTATAGACCAGGACCCAGTGCCTTCTTACATGTGTATAGACCAGGGTCAAGTGCCATATAAACATGTGTATAGAGGAGGGTCAAGTGCCATATAAACATGTGTCTAGACCAGGGCCAAGTGACATATAAACATGTGTATAGACCGGGGTCTAGTGCCATATAAACATGTGTATAGACCAGGGCCATTTGCCATATAAACATGTGTATAGACCAGGGCCAAGTGCCATATAAACACGTGTATAGACCGGGGTCTAGTGCCTTATTACATGTGTATAGACCAGGGTCAAGTGCCATATAAACATGTGTATAGACCAGTGCCAAGTGCCATATAAACATGTGTATAGACCGGGTCAAGTACCTCCATTATGTGTAGAGACCAGGGTCGAATGCCTTCTTACATGTGCATGGACCATGGTACAATTCCTTTTACCATGTGTATAGACCAGGGCCCAGTGCCATATACACATGTGTATTGACCGGGTCAAGTACCTCCATGATGTGAATAGACCACACTCAAATTATGTTCCTACATAATCAATATCTTTGACGTTACGCCAATATGTCCTTTATGGCACACAAGCCCGAAATGTCAACTTCTGAGTAACTGCTGTGTGAAGGAGAGCAAGCCATTGTAATCATACAACATTAATGATAGCTAATTACTTCCTGCTGATTGATTAGTGTGACAATAAAAAACAAGGCGATGATTAATGGTAATGAACTTGATGGAACCGATTTGTCTTTGTGTAACCTCTTTGCCCATGTCGTTTCCAGAAAATCTTTTATATCTCGGGTAAACACAAATTGCATACCACAGACGCCCATCCAGACAATCCAGTGATTGACTTTGTGAACAACGAAACATCAATTTCAGAGTAACTGTTGTGTGAACGATTGCAAGCCATTGTAATCCCATAACACTAATACTAGCGCATTACTTCCTGCTGAATTGTAATTGTGACGTGAAAAAACAAGACGATGTACTTGGTGGAACTGGGTAGACACAAATTACATAGCGTAGACGTCCATCCAGATATCCAGGTGATAGATCTTGTGAGCAGGATCAGGGTACGGAGAGGAGAAACCAGCCAGTATTGTCCTCTTCTGGGATCAACATAGGTTGTTGGAGATCTGTTTAGCCTGGATTTCCCACGGGTATTGAGCTTGAGGATACACCCTGTACGTGTGGCCCAGTCGTGTTTGTACCACTGTTTGTATCTAAACGTCTTCAAACCAGTGTTGGTACGTACAGCAACCTTGTGGTAGGGTTGTAAATACGTGGAGTGGGTTATCTCTGTACAGAACATTCTTAGTTGTGTTGGTGATAAACCTCTCGACTGTGATCAGATGTCAACCTCTGTCAGTTACTGAACTTTGAACTTTGACCTGCGACTTGCGTCTCCAAGCCAGGACATCAATGTGTACACATTAATTTGTGGGAAGGCGAGAGCCTACTAAGTTCAAAAACGTGATACGTACTACTTGAGTGAACTCAATACCCCTTACAGAGCACACTTGTGTGTGGTGACGGCTGTGCACTTTGATACAGTTTGATAAATGTTCCTGTTTAAAAAAGGAAATATCAGTCACTAGATGCAATGTGTGCGACGATAATCGCAAGAGGTTGCAAAGCATTGAGGACACTGATGAATCTATTCCAAAAAATGTAGTCTTCGTCCAATAATGATCAGTATGTGTGTGCGTGCATGCGTGCGTGCGTGTGTGTGTGTGTTCAATTTATGGTTCTCCTGAACAGAGCTATGGCGAAACATTGACTGGTGGGATGTAATACTTAGAGGACGGTTCAAGTTTCTCGTAAGACATTGGCGTGAAGTGGGAGTAAAGGCAGAATGCAAAACCTTCTAGCTCTTAAAGGTTTGTTGTTTGTTGATTATTTAAAGCCGCACTCAGCAATATTCCAACTATATCTCGGCGGTCTGTAAATAATCGACTCTAGACCAGACAATCCAGTGATCAACATCATAAACATTGATCTTTGCATTTGGGATACGATGACATGTGTCAACCATATCAGCGAGCCTGATCACCCGATCCCATTAGTCGCCTCTTACGGCAAGCATTGAAACCATCCAGTACCGTCTTTAGGTATTGCTACAAATTGAGGGGATCGAACTGCTCTCAGGACACACACCCTGTCCACCGTACCAAGAAGGCTTCCTCATCTGAGGATACCCGCTTAGCCCAAGTTTTGATTCCCCAGAACATTATCATTTGTTTCGCAAGTAAATTAATATACGATATTTATATAGAGCACATATTCAGGCAACTAGTACATGCTCAAGCCGCTGGTATTTTTTTTTTACTTTGATATTGGCGCATGGGGCCCAAACATGCACTAGATTTAGTGCAATAGTTATTGGTTTAAATGATAATTCCTGGAAATAAATATTAGGGCCCAATATAGGGGGACTATTGAGGGGGAAACAATAATGCAACCAACTATTGCAAGACTATTGCAAAAGTTTTTCTCTCCTTGAATTGTTTCCTTTGAAGTCATTTCTCAAATGAATGTATAGTTTATATGAAATAAAAACAAGCTGACGTACTTTCAGTCTCTTTTAATAACTGACCAGAAACTTGAAACCAAGATGAAGTTTGTTTCAGAGGTATCAGGGGCGGAAAACTCGAAATCAAAGTGAACGAATCTGGTACTTCCTATATTTTGCGCTGCGCGGAAGTCAGCTACTAAACTATCGATAGTCACACATACTATCAATGCTTCGATAGTTTTTCGTTTCTACCATCGATTAATTGCTATCGGAGACTCAGCAATTGCAATCCATCGATAGTTCGATGCATTGTTACAGCCCTAATAAATAATAACTTTTCTTTCAGTACAGCATTGTAACAAGGCTAATACGGCGCTTGTTAACCAGAGCGTTGAAAAATGTCAAGGCCACTCAGTATCTGAAACATGTAGCGCGTTAGCAGGTCCAAACAAAACAGATATGGTCAAGCTTCTGTGGCCATAGTGTGTCCAAGTTCAAAGGTCAACAATAAACGATCGAGTGAGCTGGACAGTAGCCGCTAGCGGGAACACCAGGGAACACAGTAAGTTGCACAGTGTAGATAATCAACCGTATTCGTTACACCAGAGACTATATTTATCATACGGTATCTGGATACATGTATACGTTGTATGTTATGCTGACTTAAACACACACAGGTTGCAGGGTTGTGTGATAGTCTACCGCATGTGATGGTATGGCAGTTTTATCTTTTCAAAAGGTGAATACCACTGGATGTCAAGGTGCTGTTCTCAGTGCTTCCTGTCCAGGGGTTGTAATTATCCGACAGTGAATGTTGGCAATGCAGTGCGTTTAAACAGAGGAACACACTGTCAGCGTCTTTGAAAGGAAGTTAATGTACTGCAGCGCCCCTTCTCCCTAAAAGCTGAGCTCTGGACCTACTTATTCACACAACGGGACCAGATCTAGGACGGGTGGAAAGCCTACACAACAGAAGTAGTCCTGTGCACAGATAGAGCAGTAACTGGTGGTGTATCGTGGAGTGAAGGTGTAAGGGTCAAGAACTAGGCCAGCTCCATATACGCTGTCGTCAGTGACCCTGTTCTTTTTTCCCAGCTCGACTCATTCACTAGTTGATCAATGCACTATCAGTTTCGTCACATGAAGTACAAGTATAACGTAAACAAGATAAATACTGTAACGAACATTTATAACGGACACAGTAATACCGAACTGACGGATATTACGAATTGTTTTTGGCCCCTACCACTTACTCTACATTATTATCGTATTGCGTGTTCCGAACGACGGTCATAACAAACTGAAATTTGTTCTTCCTCTGAGTCCGCTATAGCTGTAGTTTACTGTTGATATTTTACACACCCTAACTTCAAACTTTCCTGTTAATAGTGAAAATAGAAGGATTATTTCATGGTGCTCGACAAATGTCAGCGATGTGTCTGGACACTTGTCAGCGATGTGTGTGGACACTTGTCATTGATATACCTGGACACTTGTCATGGATATGTCTGGACACTTGTCATTGACATGTCTGGACACTTGTCGGCGATATGCCTGGACACTTGTCACCGATGTGTCTGGACACTTGTCATTGATATACCTGGACACTTGTCAGTGATATGTCTGGACACTTGTCATTGACATGTCTGGACACTTGTCATTGACATGTCTGGACACTTGTCAGCGATGTGCCTGGACACTTGTCAGTGATGTGTCCGGACACTTGTCATTGATATACCTGGACACTTGTCAATGATATGTCTGGACACTTGTCATTGACATGTCTGGTCACTTGTCGGCGATATGCCTGGACACTTGTCAGCGATGTGCCTGGACACTTGTCAGCGATGTGTCACTCAAGCTAAACAAAATATGGCCACCCAGGCAGATTACGGCCATGGGAATTACCGACTGACTAGACAAAAACGTGACAAGCTAAGCAAATTGTTTATCGTTCACGTGCATATAAAAGCAGGGAGGATAGGCAAGTAAGACAGAGCCGGCAGACAGCGGGCAGACCAGCAGAAGCGGCAAGCCAGGGACTTGAAGAGACGAACTGACCAGTCAATCCAGCTATCTACTGCCCAAGTGTCAACCTTACCTCGTCGCCTTCCCCTGGTAGCCTCTGCCGGACTCTGCAAGTTGTGTACTATCTGTTCGCTCTACCCCACAAGTCTACCTACCATTCTTTGTACGACACTGCGTCTCGTGGTGTCTCAAGACTCTCCTGAGGTGTTACAAGAGAAAAAATAATAGATTGTTGTAAAATAGATATATCCCTCCCCCAATACAAATCAAATGGATGTTCCTTCGTTCACAACAGTGTTGTGAACCATCAATATTGAACCATCACAGGGTCAGGTATATTACCTAAAACATGTTTTGATTTCAGTTTGAATTAAACTATTTTACAACAAGCAATTTGAAAAAATCTTACAAAACAAACGCGATAATAATATCTTACATGGCATCAAATGTTTTGTTGTCTGGCAATAATTGTTTCTCATACTTGCATAATCGTATCACGTAATGCCTAATCATAATAGAACTACCCAAATTGACAACAGTCATCACAAACATATTCAATAAGGTCAGCTACAGAACCTATTGCCGATATAGAACAATGACCTTTATACCACTGTGGAAACTGGGAGTTTCTGTGATCGCAATACTCTGGTATCCACAACCTTTCCATAACAGCAAGTGGTAAATTCCTTCAAAGAACAACGAGATTAAGTGTATTCCACTGAACCCAAGTGGCCTTTGTTGGCTGGCTGTGGTACTGGTCCACGGTACTGGTCCACGGTACTGGTCCGCCTGTCACACCCTGGGAGGACACGTGGTCCTCGTAATGACTTGTACAAATATCGAAGACAAAGTTTGGTGCCCACCAGGAGTTAATTAGCGCCTCTCCGACGATAGTCTCTCTTAAAGACATCAGAGCATATATTTGGTAAAACATTCACATTCATCCCAGCCTCTGAGTACAATGTGTGAAGCCCATTTCTAGTGTCCTCCGCCGTGATATTGCTGGAGTTTTGCTAAAGGTGGCGTAAAACTAAACTCAGTCACTCACATTTCAGCCTCACCTTTACCCTCTCAGTCTCTGAACCACATTATTTTCCTTCTGCCCTTAGTCCTTTGTGTAATACAAAGGCTTTTGAATAAGATATCTCACATCTCTTTGTAGCTGCTTTTCAGTTTCATTTGACTTGTTTGTTTCTTAAAAAATACATATTTTCAGAAACCACGCTATATCATCCCGATGTCCAGCAGCTCATACTCACCCCTCTTCAACTTCAGTTGTGGAGAGGTGAGACGAACAGAGCAATTACAAAACAACGTTCATACACGTGTGGGTATTTGCGTGTGTTTGTGTGTGCTTGTTCCAGCTGGGGTTAACGTTGCTTATGTTCTAGTGCTAGCCCACTGAGATGACATTGCCCAGATTGCGCAGATATCTAAACTCATACTGTACACTCACAGCCGACCTGTAATTTTTATTCCTTAAATTAATTTTAATATCATACCCAATTTCACCTATTATTAACTGGTACCATCGTCCAGTTTGACGCGGCTGCAGAGCGAACCACTGAACCTCTGCACCCAGGTAGGCAGTGCTGGTCCTATGGGAATATTTGAATATTAGATGTCGTAATTGCTGAAGGCAATTGTCCTGGACACGTTTATGGGATATTGTTTTTAGCGAGTTTATATGTGTTCATATATATATATTTTCCCTGAGTGACGTTAAAGTTGATATCTAAATCTCCATAGAATAACATCAGCTCTTTATTGTTACCATGGACAGCAGCAGGGGAGTCTATAATTAAAGCTGTCCAAAATTAAAGTTAAACAATAGCCGGTTGGGCTCTGACTCATGCTATCATGGATGAGGTGCAACAGGTTGCCGGCTGACCATACACGTGTCACATGCTGCACGTGACAGTGTGACCAGTATTCGACCCTTAGAGATACATGGATAACGCTTATGGTTCATCCTCCGAGATGCCACCTTGCCATTGCTGCACTACTATATAGTTGTACGTTGAGATCACGAATAAACGAATAACGAATTGTGGTCCAAGGGCGGTGGGGTAGCCTAGTGGTTAAAGCGTTCGCTCGTCACGCCGAAGACCCGGGTTCGATACCCAACATGTGTACAATGTGTGAAGGCCATTTCAGGGTTCCCCCTCCGTGATGTTGCTGGAATATTGCTAAAATTGGCGTAAAACTGAGCTCACTCATTCATTGCGGTCCCACTGATGAACTCAGGACTGTGTTTGAAGAGACAGACGTCCACCTTAACATACAATATAGGAAGTCTGCTGTTGTGACAGGGACATACAACTAACACGTACACTTGTTTATAATAACATGACTAAATCCTATATTAACCTTTGTGAATATATCAGAACACTATTGACCAGTCACATAACATGGCCATGGCCAGGTTATAATGACTTGACACTCTTCAGATTCCAGTGACGGGTTAAGGAAAGTAGCATGTCAGTCTGACGTGAAGATGTAATATAAAGAACCCCTGGCATTGAATTACTAATGAACCATTAAACTGTCAACATTTATCATTTAAATGTACTTTTTTTCTCATCGTAAGTCATGATGGCCATCTGGCGTCTGTCCAACATAATGCATATCCTTAATACCCTTCTGTTCCATCGCGATGGCCTTCTATTCCATCTGTACGATCCACGCGGTCGTCTTCAACATTACTCCAAGGTTATGCCATGCTTTTAATACTGGGTGGCTTTAAAGGCATACTTTTATCTTCCTACTTGATATTCGACAAAATCCACCCCAATTTTTTTGTCCGGGGTGGCAATTTTGGGGTCAATTTTGGGGTGGATTTTGTCCGGGTGGATTTTGTCTAGTTACCCTTTTAGACGCCCCTGGCTCACACACACATTCAAACACATCGCTTCCCTACAGCCACCTATCATATTACGTTATTTGTACGGTCAGTCTACGCTATGTTACACCTCATTTCCAAATATTTACAAGTACATTCCCTGGTATATGTCCATGATGTTTGAAACAATTGTTCTCTGCTCCCAAATCTGTGGCATAGAAAAAGAGCATGTGTTTGCTCCTGGAAGAGTAATTTCTTGTCCATAAATAAGGACATCAATCATTGCATGTTAGCATATAATATTGACGACATTTTACTGCGTGTGCTTTTGACAAAATTTAGTGTGGAAATGCACAGTGCCCACGAGTGTTTTGGGTGGTAGGGTATTGTTGAAAATGACCGTTATTGTTCTAGAATGTGAGACTGTGATAGTGTGTAAAGAAGCCAGGATACGCCACCTTTAGCAATGTTCCAGCAATATCACGGCGGGGGACACCAGATCCTAATCTCCGACCTCACTGGGGTCGCTTATTAGTCACTTATTCTTATTGTAGTTTCACATGCATGTATATTTTAGCCCCGTTACACAGAACAGTATGAGCATTTATTATACATACATACGTACGTACGTACGTTCGTACCTACATACCTACCTACCTACATACATACATACATGTATTGTTTCCACCTACAGCATACCTGAAGTCGACATGCAGCTGAAAGATAAAGTAGTGTTCATCACTGGCGGTGCACAAGGATTCGGGAGGGGCGTGGCCGAAGCAGTATTGAAGAAAGGTGCAAAGGTGAAACACTTAATTATATCTATCATAGAATACAGCCACCTTAATATTGTTGTGAGTTACGAGGGGCGTTCAATATATTTTCCAACTTCAATATAAGAGTCGCAGTCGCAATCGCAGTTGCAGAATATTTTCTGTACTTTTATTTTTCAATATGATCTCCATTCACCCCAATACACATTGTTCCTTCAAGCTTTGAATACCACTTGTATAGCAATCCGCAGCAAACCACGCCTGTGTAACAGCCTTTATGTCCTCGTCATCACGTAGGGCAGATTACATTTGCCGGAACAGGAAATAATTACTGGAGAGTTGATCTGAGCTGTAGGGTGGGTGATTTAACTGTTCGAACCCATATTCACTTATGGCGGCCTGTGCAATTCTCGACTTGTGAACCAGAGCGATGCCATGCAAAAGTAGAACACTGCGTGTTTCATTCATGGCGTTTCTGGCGAATAGATTTTCCCAAATGTTTCATTAAATTTAGCATAACACTGTTCATTGATTGTAGTTTTGGGTGGCATATAATCAATCTGTAATATGCCTCTTGCACCCAAAAATATGGTTGCCATTGCCTTGCCAGCCGATGGTTGAGTGCGAAACTTCTTCGGAGGCGAAGAAGTCGGGTGCTTCCATTGCATGGATTCCAATTTAGATTCAAGGTACCAATGATGAATACAAGTTTCATCACCTGTCACAAGACGAGAAAGAAATCCGGCTTCATCAGCAGTATAGAGATCCAGGAGCTCTCGACAACTTTCAGTTCTCTGATCTTGAGCTCTGAGTACCCATCTAGCAGATACCTTGGACATACCAAGATGTTCATGAATACTGGTTTCAATAGTTCCAACTGATATTTGGAATTACTTAGAAAGTTCGGTCCGACAAAATTCTTCTTTCTATAGCGGCTATAGTTTCCGGTTGGACCATCGTCTATGGACTCCCTACCCTTTTTAAACTGTAGAGACCAACGGCAAACTGTGGAATAGTCAGGAGCATCTTCACCCATCACTTTACACATGCGATCATGGATTGTTTTGGTTTACATACCTCCTTGGTAAGGAACTATCTTACAGCGCCTTGTTCATGCTTGAGAGTATCCATGATTGTGACCACCCTTAGGAGAATGAAGCCATCATATCTAACTTATTGTTGTGTCTGGAACTTGTTATCTCACGTGTCAACCTGATGTTACGACTAGTGCCATACCTGCCACAAGCTGACATTGTGTAAACTCAAATGCCAAGTTGCAAAACTTATTGAACGCCCCTCGTATTAGCATTACTTGTCGAGTTGTATGCGGGGAGAATTGCTATATTGTTCTCATCAAGTCGTTATTGTCTGCCTTTGAAAATAATACAGCTCCTATCAAATGAAATGACGCTGCAAAATGCCACTTCGATACAAATATGTAGTCACTGTGGCGGCTTCTCGGTCGTATCATTACCCCCATCCCATTGTAACAGTTATGTCCTATCGTGGATCACACTCTGAGCGGATAATTTAATGACTGTACTGTATGCACACGTACACCGTACATATTCATCCATAATATGGAAGGTATTATTGCCAAACTCTAAACTGTTTAAACACGTAGATGATACTTACATCTATGTAGATGATACTTACATCTATGTAGAAGATACTTACATCTATGTAGAAGATACTTACATCTATGTAGAAGATACTTACATCCATGTAGATGATACTTACATCCATGTAGAAGATACTTACATCTATGTAGAAGATACTTACATCTATGTAGAAGATACTTACATCCATGTAGAAGATACTTACATCCATGTAGATGATACTTACATCCATGTAGATGATACTTACATCTATGTAGAAGATACTTACATCTACATTCCATCATCAGATGGTACTAATGTTAGTCAGACCGTACTATTGTCCTGTGAAGTTGCGAGCCTAGTTAGATATAGTTTATACTTAATAGCTTGTTGGTCATCTATTTTCATTTATATGTTTCTGTATTTTCACAATTAATTGAAATCATTGGCGTTGAAATAAAAAAAACTCCTAAACATTCGATTTCTTTTTTGAAAATTCAACTCATATGAATACTGACTTAATATTTACTTAACTGACTGTAGAGATTTTAGTGTGTGGCACCAATACGCTTCCATACATACAACCTTGGCACTTTGTAAACCTTTTAATAAAAGATGACCGACTATTATGATAATCCATATCTGTTTCAATTATCAAATCAGGGTCTGAAGAAAAGCGATTCCCTGTCATATATGAACTTCCCTATATTTTGGTTAGGTGTGTATCGCAGATGTCAATGTGGATCTTGGGGAAGCAACTGCCAGAGAACTACAAGCTTCTAGTGGACCAGATTATGTCCTGTTTGTGAAATGCGACGTATCCGATGCTACTGTATTTGAAGGTGAGATAATGTACTTTATCACAGATAAAGGGAAGTTTTATCGGCAGACCGAAGGCGACTGATAAACATGGTATCCGTATTTGCTGTTATAATCTTTGCGAAACCCTTGTTTACCGGTTATCTAGTCACAATTGTCTATCCGTGGACACAGTGCTAGGATGTTATTATTATCCAAATAACAGAAGGCGATACCAAAAACGTGTCTATTAAAGGCATAGCTTATATGAGACGAGAATATGTTCGTTGAAAATAGAAGCTAAGAATGACACTTGAAAAAGATGCTATCACACTACATATGCTTTGGGATGGTAAATATCACTGAAAAAACACTGTACATTTAAAACAACAAGACTCGCTAAATACAACATATATTGGATATTTGCCGACCTGAAAACAGAACTGGGTTTATAATTACTAGTATCTAGTTTCATATTGATACAACATGCGACTGATGTATATGTGCAACGTTTAAGTTATGAAAGTAACACGTATCAGGTACAACAACGCTTTATGAAAACAGATGAAAAACAAGGGCCAGGCGACGACAACGTTTTGTTGGTTAATCCGGACAACTAGCTATTATTAATAAATACTGTTGATAGAACCGTTTCTATAAGTCATACTCAAATTTCCAGTTTCCTATTTCAACTGTAGTTGAAACATATGTTCATAAATCAGTATCTAACAGTGGTGATGCCATGTGCTCGCAGCGTATCCTGCCCCCCAAACAAAGATAAAGGGGCGTGTAATACAAGTCAAAACAGGGTACATCATACATTATAACTGACAAATTTGAAATTGTCATTCACATGTCTTCAATATAATTTGAAAGACTTCACTGATACCTTGAATGTTTTGAACAACGTTTGAGAAACACTCGCTTGAAGCGCTTTGACACTTTCGTAGCCCTATTGTATTTCAAAAGCCGAAACTACTGGTATATTGCTGGTCATCACTAGAGTGAGTGAGTGAGTTTAGTTTTACGCCGCACTCAGCAATATCCCAGCTGTATGGCGGCGGTCTGTAAATAATCGAATCTGGACCAGACAATCCAGTGATCAACATCATGAGCATCGATCTGCGCATTTGGGAACCGATGACATGTGTCAACCAAGTCAGAGAGCCGGACCACCCGATCCCGTTAGTCGCCTCTTACCACAAGCATTGGTTGTTGAAGATCAATTATATCCCGGATCTTCACGGGTACATAAATAGAATGTTCTTGTGAACACTTTGTGCAACTCTGAATCATTATGAATAGATCTTACAAAGAAACAGGTTAGGTGGTTTTACTATTCTCCTTTATTTCTTCTCTGGTGGATAAATCAGTGAAACGGACTGATGGTTAAGTAGTGAATGATGTTTTAATGTATCTGATGCTTAAGTTAAATTTTGGGTAAGAATATCCGTGTTTTGATAAAGACAGATGAACAAGGATGGGAACGGTTACTTCTTGCTTAAATGTCCTATCTCCAATATCACATTTGTGTTTTCTGTTAACTACAGTGTTTCACAGATTGTATTCTTAGTAAAATTAAAATGTCATTTGTATTCATTTTTGACAAATTTTCATGAACGTTTAAAGATTCACGTCATGTTGAACATGAATCAACGCTCCATAATCTGATGAAAATAAGATTAGCTAGTACTGTTACTCAACCTTTTTGTTTTGCATCATGGAACTAACAAGCCAGCTTAATAACTTCATCCTCATGAAAGTTCATAATAAAACATATATGGGCATTTTGTTTTGTAGATGCATTCAAAGCTGCCGTCTCGAAATTTGGTCACATTGATATTATGTGCAACAATGCTGGCATCATGGATGAACGAATATGGGAAAAGCAGCTCGAAATCAATTTTGTAAGTGTTTGAAATCTTACCTTTTCTAAAAAATATATTTACATGTATTTTACGTTCCCCACAAGATTGATATATTTTAATAGGTAAATACTCTAGTTATATTTCTCTTATATTTCTTGATTTTGCACAGTTTTGAAATATATAAACGTTGTATTACATTTTTTCATTTTCATGACAGATTTGCAATTGCCACCCCTCCTTTTATCTAGCACGTTTGTATACTCTGATATGGCTGTATTGCTGCTCTGCTGTACCAGGGCGGCGTTGTGCGGGGGACCATGATGGCGCTGAACCACATGAGGAAGGATAAAGGGGGTAGAGGCGGCGTCATCATCAACACTGCGTCAATTGGAGGTAAAGTGGCCATTCTCTTGGTAAAATAACCATTCTGTTGGACCATAACGTTGTTGTTTAGGCGGTTACTAAGAGTGGGGGAATTGGATTGCTCGAGGTAGGAGGGGATTGGTTGAGACAGATTTGTGGAGGAGAATGTGCATGTGCTCCAGTATAACGTGTTTCAAGATTGTCCATTCGAGATTATCAAGATTGTCAAGATTATTTTGTGCCAGATCATCCAGACAAGCTCAATTGTGCTAGAGATGAAGCATATTTTTCCTTGTGAGGCTTTGACAGTGAAGTGGAATTAGTATTTGATTACATGTATAGCATCAGCTAAGTCAGCGAGCCTGTGCTGCCTGACTTCCCCATCCCTGTAGTTGCCTCCAACGATAAGTCTGAAGACCAATAGTAGAAGCTGTGATTACTGCTGGAAAAATAACCTTTGTTCAACTGACTGACTGACTGAGTTTGGTTTTACGCCGCTTTTAGCAATATTCCAGCAACATCACGGCGGGGGACACCAGAAATGGGCTTCACACATTGTACCCATGTGGGGATTCGAACCCGGGTCTTCGGCGTGACGAGCCAACGCTTTAACCACTAGGCTACCCCACGGCCCCCCTTTGTTCAATGTTCATAAACTCTTACAGTAATTGCTTCTTTCCTTCTTTATTAAGGCTTGCTTCCTTCGTTCTGGTTTCCAACATATGCAGCCAGTAAGAGCGCTGTCAATCATTTCACGGCGAGTTGGGCAGTAAGTGGATTTCATACTCTTCATTTCACTACAGGCATGTATACACTTACATGATTACAATCACCCACCCTCTCTCCTCCCCTCCCTCTCATTCTCTTTCTTGTTTTCGACATGGGAGTATGTAAGGATATATAGACCAACAGCATGGACACCCACATGACCCCATCTCTTGAAGACACACAATTTCCATCATTGGATTCAGCAACATGTCCCAATTTCAGCAGCTGAAACAATCAAACACGCGGTATAACGTACCCTTGCTGTAAGTAATGGGAATAATCAGCGAGTGAGAACCAGGTATGAGTCTGCAATGAATACAAATTTTGATAGGATGAAGAACAAGTTTGAAATTCACTATGACATAGCATTGTTTTCTCCAGAAAAACCCGGACATGAAGTCAGCCGAGGTTCGGTTTGTCAGTATCTGTCCGTCGGGCGCAGAGACAGGTCTTCTTGAATCGCTGCAAGACAAGATTATTAACTACGAACATTTCAAGCAGTTTATGGAACGATCTAAATATTGCAGGTAGGCACTCATCCATTATACGTAAAATTAAGAAAGGCTATTCGAAAATAGGTGGCGTACTTTTGGTTATTGAACTATTAGCCCATAGAGCATCGGCATCGGTATCGGCATCAGCACTAGCAGTAGTAGTGGTATTGGTATTGGTATTGGTAGCAGCAGTAGCAGTAGCAGTAGCAGCATTAACTGTAGTGTAGTAGTAGTTGTAGTAGTAGTAGTAGTAGTAGTAGTAGTAGTAGTAGTAAATAGTAGTAGTAGTGTAGTAGTAGTAGTAGGAGGAGTTTGTGAACAAGTAAAATCACAGGAAGCAAACCAAAGATAGTAAAGGTTCATTACCTGGAAGCATGAAGACTTAACTTGAAATGTACATGTTTATGCACATAGCATGAATTGCAGGAGCTACCGGTAGGTCAGGACATGTTTACTCTTTCCGTGCTTACCTCATATCAGTAATTTCTGGTGATTTGTTCACATAATGTTCACCGCTATTGTGCTTTATGCGTCTAATGGAATCTGTTTTGTTGCATTAGAGAGACTGTATGTTCTCTATCAATGACGTTTTTCTATCTTCGTATGTGTTTTTGACGTTCAATATTGCTGGTATTCAAATCTCAACAACGCGTTTGAATTTGACCTGGCTATAGAAATATGTTTGACTATAAGCATTACCAATACACACGCACACGCACGCACAGACAGAACTGTCTCGTGTTTCCATCCCCTCTGTTGGATCTGTGAACCATGGGTCAGTTTGTCCATGCACAATGTTCTTGTTTCCAGGGTAGACCAGGTGGTTCAGGCATTCCTGTTGGCAATGGATGACGATACCATCAACGGCACAGCTATCACCATCAAATTAAAAGAGGGTGTGGAAAAAATTAAGTTGTCTCTCGTCCCCGACGAGTAATACCAAGATATTATATATATGATCGTCCCTAGAAAATAACCCAACATACAAACATGCAAAATGACACATATTCCATTTGAAAGTTAATATACAGGTTTTTCTTATACTTCTTCGGACCATGGTGACAATAAATCGAAAATAATGCCTCGACACTGTAGTTTATCTTGATATGTAGTCAACGGTATAAAAAGAGCTGATTGATAGTCAGCATGTATGTATATATTTTGTTCATAAACGCTGAGAACAGAATTATTTTTCATGTGAACAGGTTATGATGAACAGGTTATGACATCATCCAATGGAAACACTCTATCACCATAGAAGATGTTTTACATGTTTTAATGCAGGTTTGCGAATTTATGAGCACGGAAAACAACGTAAAATATCGCCAAACTAAATTTAAAGGATCTCACGACTGTTGATTCCAAATGACGTAGTAATGACCACAAATAAATATGTCCCTGTGTCTCTTGTATTTCGGGGCGATGATGTAGCCTTGTTGTAAAACGACGACCTTACACGGGTACAATGTGTGAAGCCCTTTTCTGGTGTCCCCCGCCGTGATATTGCTGCAATATTGGTAAAAGCGGCTTACACTAAACTCATTCACTCTCCCGTATTTCATTCCTGTATACAAATGACTAGAACGGTGAAATGACGAGACTCCAATGTGACTGCCATGAAGGTTAAAGTTCACATTTTGATTCGAACCTCGAGAACAAAATTCCAACGGCATTGGTCCAGTGGTTTCAGAGTTGAAGATATTCACAGATAACGCCAGTCGCCGCACAACCGGATCTCAGCACTTTCTGGTATAGTGCGCTTATATTCCTTAAAAGAAAAATTAATATGATACAAAATTAATGTCATATATTATTCTTTTGAAAGAATGTTAATATTTCATAAAATATATGTAACACATGTTGCCTATTTTCCATTTTCTAATATCTAAATCGTTATAAAATGGTTAACAATCAGTGTCACTTGTGACATAAAAACGCCTCAGGACAATTTTTTGAAAAGGCCAAATCTGTCATACAGCTAGGGTGCTCACTATGTGTCGGAGTTTCAATCCCTCAGGCCAAAATCAATCCCATAAGCAAATGGCTACCTAAGTTTGCATGTCAGTGGGCTTAATCTTGGTATGGTTCTTTGTTCAAGACTCCTTCCAATCTAGACGTATCAGTTTAGCTGTGTCAGCATTATATAATAAAGGAACAACACGTGGAATGAAATGAAACTATATGCCAACTCGATGTTTGCCTCAGATCATTAAGATTAACGATAGAGCAATCAGAGCAAACTCTGCGTTCTACGTCATCAACATTTTGGGTTATATAAGAGCAGAGCTATCCAATGGCTCTTCTGTAATAGACTTTGGGCCGTACAAGTTTCTCCACACCAACTGCATCATATTTCTTCTGTAAGGTAAGCCTTTTCACGTGTTGTTATCTAAATAACATTTGATTCATAGGGCTGGGGCGGGTAGGAAAAAATGGAATCGAGTACCCGCATGTACTTACCCGAATCGGAATCGAGTACCCGGAATTGTAAGGAATACAGTGCTTCTGTCAACTTTCTGAATATTCAATCACGATTTGACAGAAATAATTATAGAAAACCCATAAGGGTGGCAATAAGACATTAAAAATGACCTCAAGCTATATAATTTACGTCTGTTTAACCAATATAAAGAGTAACACCATTACTTACATTGCTCGTTAAAATATACTTTTCGTTCCTACTGTTACTTTAACTTGACTGCTCACTGCTCATGCGCAGATAACTGACAGTCGTTAATAATAACCTCCGTTAATCGGACATTACAAATGATGTAAATGTGTGTTACGTCAATAATGAAAAATGCAAGTTATTATCTGCCCTTGTCATTACAGAGTTCTCTCCCTTTCCGGGTACTCGAGTCCTAGAAATAATACTCGATTCCAGCTGTACCCGACCCGGATTCGAGTACCCGTGTACCCGTTATTAGTTTTAATCTATGGTTAGTGTGTGTATTGATACTGTCATACTTACTTGCATTTGCTTGTTCAGTGTAATCAATGATCAGAGAGTATATGTATTTTAATGTTAACGGCATGAATAATGCACTCCTATCGTTAGTTGCATGCTGTAAGCTACTGTATGACCTCTCGTGAGGGAAGCACGGTATTCAGTAACGTGAATACCGTGGCCATTCTAAAATAAAGTATCATTGATATAACATACTTTCAGCCGACGTTGACAATACTTGTATATCTTTCAAATGTGTTTGTATGTTATCTATTTACCAATGTTCCAGTTTCTTAACTTGAAAGGATGTATCTTTTATTGATACTTGTAATGATGAATGCATTCTATCTATGTGCAATTTATCATCTACTTTTGAATTACATATATGCTGCTGTTTCTGAAAACAGTTTGAACTAATCGTGTATGAATAGGTCGATAGGTGTGGTCTCCTTTACAAACTGTGGCTTGGCAATGTGAAAGGTAATACCTACAGGCTATTGAAAAATATGTACCAAAATGTTAAAGCTTGTGTGTCGATGAGAGATGGTTACACACTGTTTTTTGATTGTTTATCAGGAGTTCGTCAGGGATGCCAGTTGTCTCCCTTTCTCTTTTCCTTCTTTGTCAACGACATTGTTGATTGTCTATCTGCTGATAGTCAGAGGGGTATCAATCTAGACTTAGTTGAGCTGTTCATCCTGTTGTTTGCTGATGATATTGCGCTTTTTGACTTTACAGTTATAGGTCTGCAAAAGAGGCTAGACAAGCTAGTTTCGTATTGTAACAAGTGGAAATTGAAAATAAATCTTGATAAAAGTAAAGTTATTGTATTCAGGAAGGCTGGTCGACTAAGACATTATGAAAAGTTCCATTTGAATGGACAGTTGCTTGAAATTGTTGCATCATATAAATACTTGGGTGTTCACTTCTCTTCCTCTGGATCATGGTATGTTACACAGAAAACTTTGGCTGACCAAGCATGGAAGGTGTTGAATATTTTCAAATCATCGGTTAAGAATTTTTATAATCTACCAATTAATGTTCTGCTCCATATATTTGATGTCAAGGTTTTGCCATTGTTACTATACGGAAGTGAAGTCTGGGGATTGGTCGTCATTCATTAAAGGTAAATCAGTACATTAAGATTGTTAAATATTGGGTTCGCCTCCTGTCTCAAGCTGAGAATGTAATCTTAAATAAGGCATATGAGTATCAGTATTGTCTTGCTGAAAAAGGTATAGATTGTTGGGCTTTTAAGGTGAAATCTCTTTTGTACAGTTATGGTTTTGGCAATGTGTGGGCCAGTCAAAGTGTTGGAAATATCTCTACTTTCATATCATTATTTAAGCAAAGATGTATTGATATAGATAACCAGTTGTGGTCATCTCGTATTATACTTGTTTCAAAATTGGATTTTTATCGCAGGCTCAAAGAAGGTGTAGCTTTTGAGTTCTATATCGATAGTGTTAGTGTAAAACAGTTTCGAATCTTCTTAAGTAGATTTCGTTGCTCAAACCACAATTTGATGATAGAGTACGGTAGACATTTAGGTCTTAAAAGGGAGGATCGCCTGTGCCCGCTTTGTATCATACCTAACATAGAAAATGAATATCACTTTTGCCTGGAATGCCCTTTTTATGGGAAATTAAGAAATGATATCCTCCCTAAATATTATCACATATATCCATCTAAAGTGAAATTAGCCCAGTTGTTTACATCAAAGAATACTTATACTATAAATTGTCTTGCAAAATATCTATTTTTTGCCATGAAAAAACGAAATAAATTTCTTTCAGCCTTCGTACCCACAAATGTATAATTGTGCAGCTCTCATGATGTTGTACGGTGCTCTAATAATTGTATATTCTGTACACCTGATGTATGATGGGCCTGTGGCCCCTTTACTGAATAAAACTCTCTCTCTCTCACACAATCGTGTATGAATGCATCTGCCATTGCAATAAACTTTTGAATTCACAAGGGGTTTTACGTCATCTATGTCTTTATTATTCGTACTTCCTCTTTAAGAGTTACTTAGCCTGTGACGAGCGCGATCTCACTACCAAACATGGTTCTGCTGCTGTTTTCTGGTGTCTAGCCATGATAAAAGAAAATGACAAATTTTAACGAGTGCTTAATATATTTGTTGTTCCATTGTCATTTAATTGTGTGCTTGTGTTGTCAGATTTATATCCTTAACCCAGATAAGCATTTCGATGGAGCGAATCTTTATATATACTTTGTAATCCAAAAGACACTCGAACAAATACACTGATTAGTTCAATGTTGCAAAATCAAACAAAAACTCAAAGGAAGTTAAGGTCAGAGGAAAGCGAATATCAGAAAACTGATAGTTACACAATGATAACCGGGTCCAGCAGTGGGCAATGTTAAGGAGCTCCAGGTGTTGACAGGGTTAATTGATACAGCTACACAATGATAACCGGGTCCAGCAGTGGGCAATGTTAAGGGGTGTCGTCTCACTTAGCCAGATTCAGTCAAAACAGGTCTCTCACATAGCCAGAGCGGGATCTGGCTGACCAGGGTTAGTGTTTTGATAAGGCATGTCCATATAGTCTGTATCAACAAAATGCTCAATTAGTGAGATTCGTGAATTTTGTAGTGAGACATTTGGATGGTATTATTGGAATTTCTTTACATTTTCCATATTACGTGTGCTCAGTTTGTAAGATTAGTTAAATTTATATTAAAGTGAGATACATTGATATGGTATAATTTGAATTTCTTTACATTTTACTGAGACTGTAAATAAAAATATGCTTGGTGCAAAAGATGTAGTGTATTAAGAATACTATTATGAGAAATGGTGGCTGAAAATGTTAACAAACGATGCTTCTTTGGCTGTAATATTACACACACATGGACACCACATATATCGAGTGCAAGTATCCACTTCTGAATACCAGCCTAATCATTGAGTGCTAGTAACCACTTCTAAATCCTAGCCTATTCACAAAGTCAACGATCGGTTCTAAAGTCATGTTTTTTGCTGCTTGTTAAGAACCAGTTCTTAAGTCAAGCCTATTTATGTATGTTATCATCCACTTTTTAACAGTGATAAACGGTAATCGGAAAAAAAAGCATCAGGAAAAGAAAAATCGGAAAAAAAGAATCGATTTTTGCTAGGAAAAAAAGAAACAGGAAAAAAAGAATCAGTTCACAACAGTTAAGACTAGACTTCTTTGAGCACTTACACCAGACCTTGTTCTTTCTTGTACAGTTTCTGGTGTACATGTACCCATTCCAGCAAAGCTTCTTGCCACCCTTGTTGCTCTCTATCACCTCCATAATGTCTTACCTCAAACTGACATGCTTTACCACTATCAAAACTAATGTAACCATTTTTTTCCTACAATCTGATAAACAGTGGCAATACCACTCAACACGTGTTCGACAAGGTAACATTTTAACTGTTACACTTACAAATCCCACTCACATATTTATTGCTGTATGGACCAAGTCTCTAGTGACACTGGGCGATGGGACAGCCTAGTTGACACGAAATTGTGCAGAACTATGGATTGAGAAATAACCAAAGTTTACATTGTCGTATTAGACTGCGATGCAGCAATTTGGACGCTGCATTATCTAATCTTTGAAGGACTGTTGTAATATGTATTAGTTTGGGGAGCGACATTAATATAGGGGAAACACTGTTTGTCAATCCCACTATACACTACTAGTGGTACAAGAATAAATATTGTTAAAACTATACACACACTTGCATACATCTTCAATCGTGTCGCATTGTAGATATACACTATAGCCCTAGAACAAAGGCTCACGCTTCAGTGGCTAATGCTAATTACCTGGCTCGCATCTCTCACCAAGCCATAGTGCAATGCTGTCTTAACAAGACCTTTTTAGGAAGACTCTGGCTAAGTGAGAGTGAACCTGTTAATCATAAGGAGCTCCAGGAGTTAATTGTTACAACTACAGGACTAGGGCGTTATGGAATGCAAAATGAAGGGAAAGAAAAAATATCGGTTGCTAAGAGATTTGATTTCCCAATGCTTATATATTTTTTGGTATTTACGTTAAGTTTACATATTGTTTGCATTAAAGGTCACATGCAACGTAAAACACAACTTTGCAGATTCTGATACCTTTCGGTATGGACTTACCGAAACAAATCGTCAAAAATGCAAATTCAACTTTAAAAGTTGAAAAATAACGCGATGAAAAAAACGCGCGAAATCGGAGTTCAAACGTTTCACTAATTTTCCCCCGACTTTTCTGGGGAAAACGGGTTTCAACAGCTGGGCTGCGCTCATAGCACGTGCGCAGTGAAATAGGTTCGCGCAGCTTTGAAGCAGGTTGAATACTCCGGTGAAGGCTTTGGTTTCGAGCTATTTTTCTAATGTTTTGTTGATATCTCACAGGCGCGAGCTTTTTATATGTTATGACAGTAAATTAACTGTTTATATAATTTCATTTGTCTATTTCACCACACGTTCTTCTTACCGAGTCACTTTCTCAGTTCGATACTTGAAAGCAATGTCATTATTTAGCGTTGACAGAATTTCTAAGTGAGATATAGATATGTCGTTGTCACAGACAAAACTCAATGTCTTGTTTTATTGACACCTGTGTGTGTGTGTCTGTCTGCCTGTCTGCTAATGACAATATTCAATACACAGCTGCTATCACTGACCTGCAATTTGAACTTAACACCAATCAGGCTATACACCATAAACAAAATGCATTGATTTATGGCCCGAGTTCGGTCTCTGTCACATTATGTAATTACACAGACAGGCAGGTGTGATACTTGAACACATGACATGTTATAATGTCTGTTGATTGTAAAATGTTATACACAAAAAATGAGCATGTATTTACAAAACCCAACATCTCTATATATACACACACAATGAGCCGTGAGGGCATCTGCAAATGAACCAGCCGTTACACTTGAGTGCACACCCACCCGCTCTGACTGGGTTCGGTATCCCGGCTGCTTCGTTTCTTGGGAAGTAAACCCAAGTACACAATATTGCACTTTTGATTTGCGATTGTACGCTTATAATTTTGTTTATATGTATTTTCATAACCAGCAATGTATATTATATGTCATGAATAAGTGATAATTGTGTTTTAATTATGTTTGATTTTTTGGTTGCATGTGACCTTTAACATTGTGAGTCCACTCAAAGACACCACGCCTTATTTCAGCGTCGAATAAAAGATTTGACTTGCCCTGACCATTTCGGAAGCACCAGTCGGACGCACATAGAAAATAATCATCAGTAATCAGTAATCATTAGTAATCCACAGTCCTTGTAAACTTTAGCATTTATAACATATATAAGCGTGTACCCAATACCTGACATCGTACGTTTCCAGTGACAAGTCACTCAGAGGTGGGAAATGGGTATGTGCAGTGCTATTCAACTATCGGCACACAAACTGTCCTAGTTTTTGGATCACCAGCGTGTAAGAGTTCAAAGTTCAAAGTTCAAAATCTGGAGACGGTGGACTCTGATTTCAACAGTGGGAGAGGCTATATATACACTTCCGGCAACGTTGTGAGTACAAACTACGAAGAACACCAACGAGTAACAGTATTGGACGGATTGTGTATAAATACTCCGGCCTGTATTCACATACTCTGTCAACAGCATTTGAACGCCTGTCTATCATCCCCAGCTACAAAGTCCAAGGTGAGTGATATGCCTTCGATGTAGTCATTGTATATTCCGCTAGTGGTGTTCTAATCGGGAGGCTTTTGATGGTTTCTAAACAGTTATGTGGATAGCACTGTAGAAGCGCCCTACATGTAAGGGAGACGGAAGTAGTCTACTGAAATATCATGATGTCTGTAGGCGAGAGTGTCCGTAAATGTTGTTTAATGTGCCGCATACTGGTTGTGAAAAGTTGCGTCCCTTTGCTGATTGCAGTTTCCAGTCACATGTCCACATCTCTTGATCCCTCACCTGTCAGCACAATGCCCATGTTGTTAGTTATACTGATACATTTCCAGGGGAATCATCACTTTGGTTTCAACATGAGAATGGGGCGGTGGGGTAGCCTAGAGGTTAAAGCGTTCGCTCATCACGCCGAAGACCCGGGTTCGATTCCCCACATGGGCACAATGTGTGAAGCCTATTTCTGGGGTCCCCCGTCATGACATTGCTTGAATATTGGTAAAGGCGGCGTATAATCCAACTCACCCACTTACTCAACATGAGATAAGATGGCACAACGTGATACATGTTGTCTTTAAAACTCACTGACCTATCCACAGTCTTAATGATACATGTTTGGATAGGTTATGTCAGTAGTATGGAAGCGTATTTGTGCCACAGTCTAGAATGTTTTCATACAGTACCACAATGCTAATCGGCGATACTTACCTTACTGTTTTAATGTCATTTGTTGACGTGCACTTATTGGAATTGCTTTGTTCTCATCGCAAAACGGCTGCAGCATTACCGATGTGAGATTTTAACTCACTCACTCAGTAGCACAAACAACAAAACGGTTGCTAGTCACAAAGTTTGACTGTACTAGGGGCTAAGGGGAGTCACTGACGATTGAGTGAACATTTATGAATTGTTCTATTTATTCTTTTGTATATAGTTCATCTCAACGGGGTAGGGTGTATATTGAAATGAAATATCCATTAATATGTACCATGTTGTATGACACTATAAATTGCTATCCCACCTGGTGATGCGGACGTTATTAGTTTTGCAGCTGTTTAAACTATAATGTGCATTCAGTCCGACATATTCATGTCCACTTATTGCAGTATATACTGTACATACATTATTGTTTCCACCTACAGCATACCTGAAGTCGACATGCAACTGAAAGATAAAGTAGTGTTCATCACCGGCGGTGCACAGGGATTCGGGAGGGGCGTGGCTGAAGCAGTATTGAAGAAAGGGGGAAAGGTAAAGAGGTCTTACGTGCAGTTCATTTTTGCAATACAACGAAAGAAAGCTCCTCAGCATTTTCAAAGATAGCATTATATCTTTTAGTGTTACATGAGTGAGTGAGTGAGTGAGTGAGTACGGTTTGACGACACTTTCAGCAACATTCCAGCAACATCGCGACAGAGGACACCAGAAACTCACACACACACATACATACATTGTGCCTAAATTGAGAATGGAACGTCGAGCGAACGCTTTTATCGGCTTCCCCACCACCCCTTGGTCTGTAAGAAACGTTGTCTGATCATGGTTTTCACAACGGCCTCTGAACTACTGCAATTGTGTGATGTGGTTAATCCAGCCTTCAAGAAAACTTTATCCCATGTCCTGGAACATTCTTTGAAAGAGACCCCCGAAGATTCGGGTTACAATTGGTCTTCAGCAACCCATGCTTGTCGTAAGAGGCGACTAACGGGATCGGGTGGTCAGACTCGCTGACTTGGTTGACACATGTCATCGTATCCCAATTGCGTAGATCGACGCTCATGCTGTTGATCACTGGATTGTCTGGTCCAGACTCGATTAGGTGAGGCCTGTTCTCTTTCTTTGTTGTCTCGAGTAAACAGTTTGATTCTCTGGTTCTATTCTGTGTGTTGAATTTGTACTCCCAAACCCAAGGGCAATAAGGAATATTAGGCAGTCAAAGAGCGACTATGCGACAAAGGGCCAACATGTTTGATATAAATGTTTTGAGGAATTGTTCTCAGATATTCACGTTTGAAAGAATTATCCAGTTGTATGATAAAATCTTGAACTAAGTAGAAATTGCGAGTATAAACAAGCAGCTAATATAACAGTGCATGTATATCAATCGACCTGGGGAAAGGAAAATATCCTGTCTGACATTTTATTTTCATTTCCGGTTAGGTTTGTCTCGCAGATGTCAAGAGGGATCAAGGGGAGGCAACTGCCAAGGAACTTCAAACTTCTAGTGGAGCTGATAATGTCTTCTTTGTGAAATGTGACGTGACGAATGTTGCTGAATTTGAGGGTGAGATACTAACTAGAGAGCTCACCAGGCTTGTGTTATAATAGCTGCAGCTGCTTTAGCAACTGTAACACCTGTATCTGGAGGCTCAGGCGGTCATGATGTTGTTTCATTGGTTGTGGTCAGCCAGACCTTGAGGTATAAATTGACCTTATCGAACCAGACAGTTTATATGGATGGTAATATTTTACTGATTCACTTGGTTACTTGTCATGCGTTTGGGATCATTATCCATGTTTGAGAAGAGACAGGTGCATCTTCATTGATGCTAAATGGTTGGAATAACTTTCAAGTTTAATCCAACGCCACTAAAGTGTAGAATATGTGTTCAATGTGACGTTTATGTGTGGATTAAGCTTAAATTATTGTTCAATCGATACTTAACTTCCTCATAGGGCGTTACGCAACCTGAATGCCAACTACATAACTACGCACATATTAAATATATCGATAGGACGTCAGTGAAGAAAATGACCAAGTCTTGACTATCATCAGAAATAAATAGAAAGGGAAAGGGAAAAATAGTGAAAATTATATGAATGGATCACTGAAAATGAGTTATGACACCAGGTGTTCGCGAAAAGGGAAACCATGTCCTGCTTCCCGTACCCTAATTTGCCTAAAAGTGGTAACATTCTGTATGCCTGATGCCTAAACAAATCAGGCAATCAAGTGATCGCTGAACCATAAGATCTAGTCAGATAATTTGGAAGTACGACTGCTGTGTAGAAGTACTGAGATTGCCATACTTATGAATAAAGAAAAACGTTTGGGAAATAGATTTGTTTCACAACACATTGGGGGTCAGCTTAAATGTTTTGAACCGAACATTTCCTTTGTATTTGACTCAGCACACTTAAAGTTGCTACTTCAGTCCACCAGCAGACACATCTACCCAATTGAATTAAATATAGAAGTGAAATACACAATGCCATTTTAGAAAGTGGTCAAATGTAACATTTTCCACTAGAAGCCGCGGTGTCTGAGCGGTCTAGGCGTCTGACTTTGTGTGCTGGCGATTAGGTGCCTGACTCTGAGGGTGTGGGTTCAAATCCTGGATGAGACTCAACCCCCCAAAAGTACTAGAATCTGTACTTTACTGAGAAAGTGTAATCCCAAATATAACATATGTTAAATATAGAAGGTCCTGGAAATGACTACCCATTTTTGACTATCATCAGTGCAACTGTTAGTAAGGCTAAAGTCTGGAGACCAAGCAGAGAAGGGATTCTTGCAGCATACTCGCACTGAAACCTGATGTCCTACCTCATATCTTGGAGTACTTGCAATAGTTTTTAATATTTTTCAAGCTCCTATTCACTGCTGCTAATGTTAACGAGGCTAGAAACCATATGCATGTATCTGAAACACCTCGAGTACGTGTAGGTGTGCTTGGTGTGTATTGGTGTGTCCTGTGGCCACGAAGGCGAATCTTAAAATGTGACAGTGTTGGCCAGGGTTTTCGCTCCTGTATATTTTTTCTGTGTTAACTTATTGTTTACATTAATAATCTAACATATATGGTTCTTCGCCATGTAGCGTTGACAACTGGCGATTTGTTTGCCTTCATTTCTGATTTGGTAAAGCACGGCGTCGACTCTTATATTTATATATATGGGTTACCTTAATAAATGTTATCGTCTCCGTGGTGTAGTGGTTACAACGTCCGCCCGGAGAGTGGAAGGTCACGGGTTCGATCCCCGACCGCGTCATACCAAAATATGTTAAAATGTGGTACTTGTTGGTCCCTGCCTGGCGCTCGGCATTAATGGGTACAACAAGGACTGGTCGGCTCGGAGTCAGTATAATGTGTCTGAGTGGGGTATTCATGCTTCACTGTGGTATGGTATCTCAGTCAGCTGGAACTATAAAACCAGCTTAAGTCTGGGCTAGTACAAGCAGCCGCACATACACACACGTGCACGTCATCATATGAGCCAAATATTCTTAGGTACGACCTTAAAAGCCATTTCACCTCACCTCACCTTAATAAATATGTACGTATATGTATGACTTTTTTGTCCAGATGCTTTCAAAGCTGCCGTCTCGAAATTTGGCCATGTCGATGTAATGTGCAACAATGCAGGCATCATGGATGAACGGATATGGGAAAAACAGCTGGAAATCAACTTCGTAAGTGTTTGAAATTTTACCACATGTGTATCTACTATATACCATACATCCGTTCATAATCTCACCGAATTGCTACGGTTAATAGTTTCCGTACAGGCACAATGACAATTCCCGAAAATTTACCGGACATAGTAATTGTACATCATGTTACGTTTAGTCTATTTGCTAACTTTAGGGTGTCACCCCTCTCTATGTTTGAACTGTCTTCATTGCTCTCTGTGTGCAGACTGCTGTTGTGCGGGGGACCATGATGGCGCTGAATCACATGAGGAAGGATAAAGGGGGTAGAGGCGGCGTCATCATCAACACTGCGTCAATGGCAGGTATGTCCAGAAATGTTCATTTTACTGGACCCATATAAGGTATTGAGGCTGGTCTGTGTGTGGTGGAACGGTTTGAGTGATGTGTGGCGGGTGAGAAGAAGGAGAATGACTCTTTGTTACTTTGCTTCCTTTACATAGCAGCTGCAGCCGTGAAGATCGGGGTTAGGTTTGCTCTTAGAATCCTATGCTTGCCGAGGATGGATGTTCAGGCCAACTGACTTGCATGGCATCGTATCGCGTATGCTCATGATATCAGTCACTGGAGTGTCTGCGTCAGACTCATATATTTACAGACACCAGTGACTTAGCTGTTATGTTAGCTTTAAGACTTATAGTTAGGTTAAATACTGAACAACAACCGGGTAGTCGTTACAAGGTAACATTACTAGGAGATTATCCAACGCCTTAACTAAAGCAGTTACATGAAGTAACTGACATGAAAAGGAAAAGGAAATCCTTAACAATGATGAACTTTAACTGTTTATATTTCTTTCACTGTTTATTAAGGTTTGATGCCCACGTACTGGTTTCCTGTTTATGGAGCAAGTAAGAGCGCTGTTTATCATTTCACGTCGAGTTGGGCAGTAAGTGAATTTCAAACATTTCTTGCAAATCAACATGCTGTACCTTGATCTAGAGATATTCATCATGTATGTGAAGAGAACAGAACTTGTCGACTATTAGAATGAACAGCCGTTATCTCTTATGGGGCTGATTAAACCAAATGAGTGTGCAAACGCTAGCCGATGTAAATGTACTGCAACTCAATATTCTGCTCAGCAGTTCACATTATTTAACACTCCTACCCAGAGTTCCATGCGGCAAGCCAGCATAGTACCTCTGCCACAGGCCACAAAAATGTGACGATTCGTCACATCTTGCAATGTCCATTCAATATAATGAATAATTTCTTTTACTCTTTTATTTTTGACGAGTCTACACATCTAACTAAACATCTTTGATAGAATGGTTTAGTTTCACTGAGAAAATATCCAAAAACATGTAACACTATTTCGATTTGCGTAGCGATCCTTTGTTTACATAGGTTGTACGGCTCCACGTGCTGTCATCGAAGCTGATGGAGAGCAAACGATGCGGCCAGTTTGATATCTAAATAAGTACTGTCATAGACCTTACTGTCGCAGTTGTGGAAGAATATATATGTAACAATGTAAAACATTATGAAGAGAGCGCCGAAAAGCTTTCGTGAGTCCAGTCTCTCCTTATTATGAATATGCGCGTTTGATTACAAACAAGAGAAAAGTCCGGTCACGTGATATGCAAATTAGCCTGTGGTAGAGATGTTATGTTAAGTCATCGCTGTGCCGGAGTGTGATTATTTAATGCAGTTACTGATCATTTTTATAAATATATGACAAATGTATCCCCACACTGAATAACAAAACTACACCCTGTGTAGCTATGTCAGAAATATTGCTGAGTGTGCAAACGCAATCTGATGTAAATGTATAACGTATACTGTGTAACAGAAATCCTTTTGTCTCGATTATATGGTCAGCAGTTATAATTTGCAATTACTGGTCGTGTCAGTGAATCACTGACAATGTTACCCCAACACTGAATGACTACACCCTGTGTAGCTATGGCTGAAATATTGCTGATGTGACGTGACTCACTAACACTGAGTAATGCCATTGTTTCTTCAGCAAAACCCTGAAATGAAGGCTGCCGAAGTTCGACTGGCCAGTATCTGCCCTGCCGGTGCTAAGACGGCTCTTCTGGACTTAGATGACGACCAGATCATACATCATGGACACTTTAAGCAGGTTATGGAAACTGCCGAGTACTGCACGTAAGCACGTATTTATGTTACTTATAAAACGGCTGAAACAACTTTGAAATAATGTGATGTTGCCTTCTGTAGTGAACTGATGTAATTTCCGACCTCTGATGCTGCATCTTTCGGTTATCAAATAAAACCGGTTCAACAATAACAATATTGATGATGACCAACATGAGGAAAGATCCTTGATATCACCCCAACCATATCATAAGTGAGTGAATGAGTTTAGTTTCACGCCGCACTCAGCAGTATTCCAGCTATATGGCGGCGGTCTGTAAATAATCGAGTCTGGACCAGACAATCCAGTGATCAACATCATGAATATCGATCTACGCATTTGGGATATCATAAGCATGTGTTTATTTCACATGATATTAGTAATTGTACGAGATTTTCGTGAAAAGGTGAGCGTATTGTCACCAACACGTCACAAGCACACGCGAAGGCAAGTAAATGTTCGCTTGAAAATACACATTTATATATGATGCAAAGTATTACTGAATTTTACTGTTATAACTTTGACCCTACAAATATTGAGCAACAATTGTCCGACGCCCTCTTGAACCTCGTTGAATGTCAAAACCAAATGCTGGTTCATTGCTTGACTTGAAGGGAAAGCGGAACTGATCTCGCTTGTCATACAGTCTTGTGGATATTGTTTGGTCGCTCTGAATATATGCATAGTCCAAATAAGAGTGAGTGGGTTTAGTTTTACGCCGCACTCAGCAATTTTCCAGCTATATGGTGGCGGTCTGTAAATAATCAAGTCTGGACCAGACTATCAAGGGATCAACAGAATGAGCATCGATCTACGCAAATGGGATACGATGACATGTGGCAACCCAGTAAGCGAGCCTGACCACCCGATCCCGTTAGTCGCCTCTTACGACAATCATGGGTTACTGAAGATCAATTCTAACCCGGACCTTCACGGGTCAGTCCACATAAGAAACAGATAACGTTAGTTCACTGATATTTGATGTCTCTACCTCTTGTGGGTAAATCAAAGAAGTTGTTATTTAATGTTAAAGATGATACCAAATCATGGACAAAACTGAGACTTAATTTCTTTGACATTATTCCACAATTGTTTTGATTTTGCCAATCCAAGGGGAGATTCTGTCTCCCTTGACACAAGAAAAAAGATCAGCAAGGAAGTGATGTTTACATTTTGCTTATCCCCAAATTTTACATTGATGCCTTCTGTCATTAAGTGAGCCATTTTACAGGCCGTTCTTTCAGTAACTGCAATGACAGCTCCTTTCATTTGTGATAAACTGTCTCGAACAAAGTCCATTTTCCCGTGCATGTCTATTATTCAATGAAATTGACTATACTGTCTTTACTTCACTTCTTGTAGTCCAGACTCGATGATTTACACACCGCCGCAATATAGCTGGAGTGTGGCGTAAAACAAAACTCGCTTACTTCTTGTATGTGTTTTGGCCATACAAGATTGTACGATTATAAACATCCTTAATATCCTCAGACATTGATGATAATTGACACACTGTTCTGTTGGAACTCCTGGGACCGGCTCCACAAAGCGTCATCATATGAGTTACGATCGTGTTGGCGCTCGTGTTGTCGAACTGATCCCTGAACTCGCATTGGCGTGTTAACAACTTTGAGCTTGAATAATGTCAGTGTAACGTGTGCGTGTTCCAGAGTCGAAAATAGGACTTGTTCGTCAAAGCGTTCACTATGATTGTCGTAAGTCATTATGGGAGTTACCATTGTCTTAGCTTTACGATCGTTTTGTGGAAAGGGGCTCTGAACTGATGTACCGTGTTACTGTAACATTGTAATGGTGTTAGTGTAATGTCTGGGTGTTTCAGGGTAGACCAGGTGGTTAGCGCATTCCTGATGGCAATGGAGGACGACACCATCAACGGCACAGCCCTCACAATCAGAGCCAAAGAAGGTGTGGTGAAGATGAAGTTGAGCTTGGTTCCGGTGGAGTAATAGCACGGCACGTCCGATATGAAGTAGTCCCAAAAAGTGTCCTTTCTTTAAACTTAGCGAAATATTGAAAGCTATCACATTTGATATTCAGATACTTAGTCCTTCAGTGAACAGAAACGAAGATGACGCGTCTCTTAAAGTTTCCTTTAATCGTAGCAGTTTGTTAGAATTACATCAATTATGCAGACAAAGCAGTTCGAACCAAAAGAATATATCAGACGATGGGTCCAAATCATCTACCTTATTTGTCAAAAGGCAAACTGCACCCCAGCTATGGGAGATATGAGTGATCGTTGATATTTTGTTAATAAAACATATGACTACATTTTGTTTTGTCTCCACGTTTAGAAATACGTGACATCTGCATGTTTATATTCAGTGTTGTTTTGACATGCCAGTAGATCAAGAGCTTCCACAGCACCAAAAACCGGATAGTAAACCATTGAAATATATGAAAATACAGTAGGAAATACATGCCATGACCGGGTTTACGTACGTTTTCAGATATTTCCTAACTTCGGGCATATATTTCATATGAATCTATACCTTTGAAACATATGCTCATCGTACATTTTCGTATGCACAAGCACCTCGTTCATGTATGCCCTGACCGGATTGTCGGGGATTTCCAAATATGAATTGCAAAACAGATACCCCGGTAAATACATGATCATACAGTTTTTCCAATGCATTCCTTTGAATTTCAGTGGGTGCTGAAATTTCCGATTTCGTTCTAAGTTTACTCGGGTTGGAAACATGTGAATTTACTTAGGTGGGGAAACACAAGTAAATTTTCAAATTTGCAAATGTTTACACACCTTAGATATTTATGTATCATACCGATTTCAGGGTATGTATATGAACGGTTCAAACACCATCATGTTACCTGTATTCAAGCAAGATGATCAAATGTTTCCATCATGTGAATTACTTGGCTCATGTAATTTCACTTTCACACATTTTAGTACGTTTGAAATCAACGTTCACATGACCTCAATATTCTTATCACCAAAGAGCCTGACAAAGAAAGCGGTATTACGCAAGCTAACACGCCTTATTAAGCTGCACTCGCTCTTGCTACCAGTATCAGTTACGCCTTGTCTGTGGTGTTGGCAAATCTTGTGAGGTGCATGTTTCGAGGGATTGAAAGGTTCAGTGGTGAACAAAGGGCGATGCGTTGCCCCTTTGTCCTAGCAAGTGTCCCTAGCTACCCTAAAGACAAGCTCTTTGTCTCTCTTGGAGCACAGTCAAATATGCTACACGAACCAACTCGTAATTTCTTAAGTCTGTTCAGCTCGCGCATCACTACTGTACAATAATTGTGGCAGTACATAATTGGAATATTATTGCACTTGCTGTAATAAACGCCATACATAAACTTTAAAGTTTGTTTCACTAACGCAAAAGTATACAATAAGAAACAATGCCATATCAAATTATATATTCTGTGAGACATGAAATGAAAAATTGTTTTTATCGAGTAGCGATTATGACCGGATAGCACAGGCGGGTGCGTTCTCTGAGTATATCATAGACATGTTGGATCTCCGTGCCTTTGGGGAAATTCGTCTATATTGTCCTGTTTAAATTGACGATCCATAACTCAGATTGCGAGTAAATATCACGTAATTCATTGTGATGTCGCATTGCTGTAAATTTCCCTGTCGAAGAAGTCATTCTCACAAGATGTATATTCTCTTGTTTGGAGAAGATCTATGGCTATTACGTCCCAGTGTTGCTAAACATCTTACAGGCCTTTAGTCTGACACAGACGCGGAGTAAGTGAGTGAGTTGAGTTTTACGCCGCACTCAGCAATATTCCAGCTATATGGCGGCGGTCTGTAAATAATCGAGTCTGGACCAGACAATCCAGTGATCAACATCATGAGCATCGATCTGCGCAATTGGGAACCGATGACATATGTCAACCAAGTCAGCAAGCCTGACCACCCGATCCCGTTAGTCGCCTTTTACGACAAGCATCGTCGCCTTTTATAGCAAGCATGGGTTGCTGAAGGGCTATTCTACCCCGGACCTTCACGGGTCCACAGACGCGGACATCGCATGTTCAGGTTCTGATCTGACAGGGGCTGAAAATATCATTCCGACATGAATACAATATCTCAGTGTTTTCCTAAGTAAGTGGAGATCTTTCTACAACATTGGAAATAACTCTATCGTTGTCCTTCTGATATTCCCCCGAACGAGACCCGTGAAGATCCGGGGTAGAATAGGTCTTCAGCAACCCATGTGCTTGCCATAACAAGGCGACTATCTTGTCGTAAGAGGCGACTAACGGGATCGGGTGGTCAGTTTCGCTGACTTGGTTGACAAATGTCATCGGTTCCCAATTGCGCAGATCGATGCTCATGCTGTTGATCACTGGATTGTCTGGTCCAGACTCGATTATTTACAGACCGCCGCCATATAGCTGGAATATTGCTGAGTGCGGCGTAAAACTAAACTCACTCACTCACTCACTCCCCCGAACGAAAGCTCTACCCATTTAGGGTACAATGTGTAAGTTACAGAATTGTAGGGAATAGTCTTAAGACTTTTCTACTTTGACCAAGATTCTTCGAACTTGTAACAGTCGTTTGAGAAGATCAAAAGAGAAAAGGGTAGTGCGCGATGTATATGACGGACGTATATGGAGAAAGTTCGAAAAACTTTATAAATACAATAATAGAAATACCGGTTATGTTTAAAACGCACCTTCAATCTGATAGCCAGAGGGATTATTGTGAAAGATCGCAGTATGTATCATCATAAACGGGCCAAGATAAAAGTACATGTCATTCATCTCCACATTATATCCCTTTTATAGACACGGGACATCGTTGTTACAGGTAGGGCAAACACTTTATTCTAAAGTATCTGCCGGTTTCACTCTACATACATGTGTTCAGATTATCGAGAAAACTAGCGACGCAAGTTCTCCTCCATCACACCAGAGACCACATAATCTATCATATGGCCTTTGATCACACATATAATTGTATAGATACCCAGTGTTTATTGATAGCGATGAAGCAACTTATCAAAATTTACAGCCGACAGTATCATCTGCATTACTCTCTTACATAAGGCCGCCATATAGCTGGAATATTGCTGAGTGCGGCGTAAAACTAAACTCACACTCTTACATAAGGTGAAATATCACAGGGTTGTCATGGTAACGATAATTTTGCATACTATTTATTGTGTTGTTCTTTAATCTGTGATTAGAATTTAAATCAGTTTTGACGTGAGCATGATAAGTAAAAGAGAAGCTGTAAAACGAAATGTATTGTGATTGAACCTATAGGCCTTTGTAAAAGCGAGTTTCAAGTCTTCAAGATAAGTATCTGCTAATCCGTGGCACGATTCCGACCATATCGTGGGCATGTGTTTGTGAATCATAATCAAATAGTGATGTTACAAGCAGTCCATGCCGCGTCAACAACACATGCAAACAGGGGCGTAGCTACCATTATAAAAACAGCTCGAGCATTCACATGATCTTTGCTAAAGATAATTTACAGTAAATTACAGTAAACAGGTTATTCTTCATATCATAGCTTTCAGTGATGATTGTTTTTCCATCGACATGTATGAGGATGTTTTGTTACAGTCATGATTATATGTGAATCATCACTGACATGCAGTTGTTTATTTATCATTTGTTTATCAGTTATTTTAGAAAAACCACCAAATACTCGATGTATGGTATTGTATCAATGCAGCTGACATGTATAAAATATGTCCAAACATATTTGTATATGAGGAAATCACACTCGAATTTCCATGGTGGTAAGACTTCCGTCCGTAACCCCCAAACCTCCCCACCCCTCCCCCTTAAATTTTAACGATGAGGAAAACTTTCTTTGAGTGGCATTTATATGTCTTTCAGTATGTTCAGATTAAATAAACAAAACACGTTAAAACCCATCCTTATCGGATGAGGAATATATATTCAGGTGATATGATTTGACTAGAATGAAATTTAAGGGGGGATACAGGCGGAAGTCTTTCCACCATATTTTGAAGCTATTGAAATCATCAAACGTCAAACGATAACTCTTCAAGTCTCACAAAAATGAAAGTTGGACAAGCCCTCAATACCACCTAAATATAAGGCTTTGCAGCTCATATTGCTTACACGAAAAACATGGCTTGCTACGTGCCTGGCAAACGCACGAGAATTGCAATACGGGCCTCTAACCACTGATTCTCCGTGACCTAGAGACACATGTGATTGAGCGTGTGTTGGGACGTCGTCTGTCATACAGACCCGGAAGCAAATATATCCAAGCCCACGCAAGTCTACAAAATGTGGCAAGTCTAGATTTTCACAGCTTCAGGAGAAAGTCTCAGGGCTCCTTTTCCTTATATAATATTCTTTTTACTATCAACTTTTTTCTGTAAAATATGTTCATATCAGAGACTAGTTGTTAATCTAGTTCTGACGGGTAGAAGACAAAAGACAAAATGGATACTAGTGCCGTTACATTTTTAATTATATATAAACATTCGTCCTTGTCTCGGGATAAATGTATATTTTCCACCAAATGTACATTCGGAGGATATCGAAATCTAGGTTAAGCTAGTTGAATCATATTTACAATTAAAAGACCCAAACAATGGTGTGTTGTCCACATTTTTTTTTTCTTCATAGTCACAGAACGATATTTTCTCCCCTTCCGTCTCTAGGAAAACTCACTGCAGGGTTCGGGTTATGGAGAGCCATACCGAACACCCACAGCTGGCGGGACCAACATCTCCAGTAACATTTACATCTGCCAACGCTTAATTCGCAAGTGGTGAGGCAATAAGCTAATGAGGCTAAGGATCCTGTACCATGTTTGTGAAATATCTGTGATGCCTTATATGAAGTCTATCATCTAAGCAAGTCTAGCTATGTATGGCGTTAAGTCACTGCTTTAAGAAAGGCTCCTTTAGAATTTTATCTGGTCAATATTAGTATTTCCATCATATCGGAAAATACATACACTAACGCTTAGTGTCTGAATATATATAATTTTGATAGTAACAAACAAGCCCATTTAAATTGAGCCCCAGGGAGACACGAGATTCAGTCCGGCTAGCCATGGCTGCAGTTAGCTATAGATATGTTTACTTTGTAACCCGACCCCCAAAGTGAGTTAGGGTTCTTGCAGATGTTAACAGACCCTGGACCTGAGGAGATCTAGACTTGCTTCATTTAAGGCTTTAGCATTGCACAGAGGGCTTGGCAGTAGGGGAAATAATGTGGTTCAGGGACTGTGAGACAGACTAAACAGTAAGGAAAATAATGTGGTTCAGGGACTGTGAGACAGACTATAA